GTCATATTTTATAACAAGATCCCTGATATGTAAATGTAACTGCATTTAAGAATTATTTGTAGTAATGAATTTGTGGAAATGTAATGAGAAAAAGAAAATGTGCTTGTTTATTCCTTTCAGGAAATTCCTCTATTCCCCCCTGGTTTTCATCAGCTATATTTTTGGCAGGCTGTGGGCATGGAAATGTGAAGACATCACTCTCAAAGAGAATTAGAATAATCACATCTGATTTATACAGATGTCACCATAGGGTTAGGCAGTTGGAAAATCCAGCAATTCAAATGAATAGGAACTTAAAATTAAGGACATGCCATACTTTTACTAACACTCTGGCTTTGAACATTATCAGTAGTGCACAGGAGATTCTTTTCAGACTTCGAAAGTAGTCATAATGGCAAGACAGATTTCCATCTTACAAGATGAGATCTAAAGCAAGCTAGAGACGCTGGTATACTTCCTGTGGATCCATTTTAAAGATTTAATTCATTTGGATTTCTTGAGCATATACTTACTATGTGTGCAAGACAGCAAGAATACTGAAGAAATAAAAGACATTATGTCTGGCCTCAAAGAATGTATGGTACCGTTGGGGTGTGTTGGAGTGGCCTTGTAGGGGTTCAGTTGAGAACTACAGAGTAGGTAGGATTCCTCAGCAGGTCAAGAGAAGAGCGTGAGTCAAAGTTAAGAGTTTGAAAAGAGAATGAGTGGTATGTCTAACAGACTGTTAGGAGGCTAGTCTGGGCAGATAAAGGTAGCATGTCTGAAAGTGGTAGTGGGGAAAGATAGATGGGCAGCACAGGAACCAAGTGGTACAAGACTTTGAATAAGCAGTTGAGATCTGTCATCAATACAGAGTCACTAAAACCTGACCTCTTTTTAGAAAGCCAACACTTACTAATGCAATAACATTGATCTTTTCTAAGGGGAGAAACTCGTGACAATGAAAACTCTAATACGTGAAGCATTTTTATAGTAAATGAAAAGAAGTAATGGAGAAAATAATTACTCTGATAGGCCTTACTATTGTAATAACTGCCACAAACAAAATTATTCTTTGAAATTGAAGAATTTAATTGAACCACTAGTAAGTAGCCTTCTGAAGGACACATAGTTAGAATGGACAACTAAATATGGATAATAAACCAGACTAAGTATCCCAAACCCTCTAATTCATTTTGAGTACATGTTAAGAGGACAGGCTGGCCTCTGGTTATTCTGACCTTTCATCTTATAACATAACAGTTTGTTTATTCTTTATCAAACAAATAAATACTAGAGACCACTAATCCAACTCGGGGAGGTTAGTACAAAAAAGGGTGGTTACAAAGGCCAAAAATGAAGCTCCAGAACCAAAAAGTACAAATAAAGAGCAATTATGGGTGCCTGGGTGGCTCAGTCAGTTAAGCATCTGACTTTGGCTCAGGTCATGATCTGGCAGTTCTTGAGTTCAAGCCCCGCGTCGGACTCTGTGCTGACATCTCAGAGCCTGGAGCCTGCTTCGGAATCTGTGTCTCCCTCTCTCTCTGCCCATCCCCCACTTGTGCTCTGTCTTTCTCTGTCTCTTAAAAATGAATAAACGTTAAAGAAAAAACCAAATAAATAGCAATTCACTTACTGGCCAGAACGTAAAACCCCTAGATATATATACTATCATCCTTTCCACTTCTCCTGTAGGACTCTCGTGCTCCCCTCAGGGTCAGCAGAGTATGCCCAAGCCCATCTCCCCCGTAGCTTCTGACAACCAGCTTTCTCCTTTCTCCTTGGGGAAGAATCCAGCAGATTAAGAAGATAATCCTAAATGCTTTTCTAACTTAAAATGAACCTAAGAAGTGAGTATATGTGACACTAAAAGTCAGGCTTCCTCTCTGCTTAATGTGGAGAACTAATAGCCTTTTATACTTGGACACCAAACCAGAGTGATCCCCACACATCCAACACACACACACACACACACACACACACACACACACGTGTGTGCGTGCACACACACACGCACGCACATACCACCTCTCCCTCCCCAAAGTCCAAGATGTTCCAAAGAACATAACAAACCACACGGTTGGGAATGATTCATATGTTTCCACTCTCGGTCCAAACATGAGCAAAAGAAGTTTCCACTTAATTTATAATCAGAATTTTCTGCACATTTCCTAAAAAAATTAAAGGGGAACAATTCAAAATCTGGCCATTCTTTCTCCAAAACTTTCTGATTAGTTACAGACTAAAGTATCTTTTTGGTAAAATACTTTTGTGCTCCATCCCAGCCTGGAGACTAAGTGCCATAGCTGCATGGTGCCAAGTATCTAATCAGTCAGCCAATGTTTTCATCTTTTCGGATGTTTTCAAAAAGCTGGGGTTCTGCAGATACAGGCTTATTCTCTCCAGCCTTTTGTTATCTCAACCATACATATGGATACAGATTTTTCTGTTTGGAGTATTTCTCAAGGCCAATGCCTTATTATAGTTCCAACACCTGCAAATATTTGGCAGAGACTGTTCCATCCATATCCTCCACTCTTCCTGCAACCCCACTCCCATCTCTTACCATTATGAGGCTGTAAGTTTATACAGTATGTCCTTCCCCCTCCCCCAGTGCTGTTAATCATTATCTGTGACCCATGAAGTGTTCAATTGCCAGAGCATAAAGGTAAGTTTTCAAATCACATTTCATGGGCAAAACTTAGGTCCAAAACAAAGGCAGCATGCCACAGTAGAAAGGATACTTAGGTCAGAGTCTAGAAGCTGAGTTCCAGTTCCAATTCTGTGACTTTGACCAAATCACTTAGTCTATCAAAGTCTTAGTTTACACCACATTAAAGTGGAAGGCTTCAGCTAGACCAAGAGTAAGGCCTAGCATCTTAGGATTCTAAGAACTGAAGTCAATGAGATTATTCCTCTCTGCAGCTTTGGAATGAGAATATCATTCTCATTGAGTGAAATCAACAAACACTGAGCTTTGTGCAAATTTGTAAATATTAGATATAAATAAAAATCAAAAAAGGCACAAACCATTGTCAAAGTGACTACTCTCGATATTACCTGCAACAAATTACAGAAGGGAAAAGATATCCTGTTCTGAGTATTGCTACTTTCACCAACCTCATAAAATTTGTACCAATTTTTTTAAGTTTATTTATTTATTTTGAGAAAGAGAAAGAGAGTGAGAGGGTGGGGCAGAGAGAGAATCCCAAGCGGGCTCTGTGCTGACAGCAGGGCTCGAACTCATGAACCAGAGACCATGACCTGAGGTGAAATCAAGAGTCGGACTCTTAACCAACTGAGGCACTCAGGCGCCCCCCTTCATAAACTTTTTATGAAGTTTTTATGAAGTCAAGTTACCCTGACTTTTTCAGAGCATCACAAGAGGAAAATCTCTGCTTCCTTCTTGCCCTCCTTCCATCCTATCTGGGTCTTCCTTCCAAACTGGCTTATATATCCAGTCTCTTTTGGGGTAGTAATTTTATCAGTCATTTAAACATTTTGCTTTTCTGGAATTTCTGCTAAATAGCTCCCTTCTTAACAGAAGTTAAACCACACAGCAGGCAGGTAATGGGAATAAGACAATTGGCCGGGGTTGGGGGGGTGATGCACCTGGGTCGCTCAGTTGGTTAAGTGTCCAACTTCAGCTCAGGTAATGACCTCATGGTTCATGAGTTTGAGCCCTGTGTGGGGCTCTGTGCTGACAGTTCAGAACCTGGAGCCTGCTTCAGATTCTGTATCTCCCTCTCTCTCTGCCCCTCTCCCACTTGCTCTCTCTCAAAAATAAATAAACATTAAAAATTAAAAAAAAAGACAATTGGCCAGAGCTGACATTTGTTAACATCAATGTGAAGTAGTAAGGTTTAACAAAATAGGCACTGAGACCTGCACATAAATATCATGTGGCACAACCACTTCAGAAAACTCTGTCCACTGAATGCAAATGAAAGACTAGGAACTTCCAAGGCGGGGAATGCAACCAAGTGGTTCAGTCTGCAACCCACAAAAATGAACATTGGCACAAAATCTGGTACTGGATTAAATATTTATTGCCTTCGGCTTAAATTTTTAGGTCTGATACTTGATTATCCTTCCTGATTTCGTGGTAAACTGAGGTTCCTTTTTGTCCGTTTGTGTGTTTTGTTTTGGATTTTTTTAAGGCAGGCTTAGAATTAGCCCCCTGTTGGGGTGCCTGGGTGGCGCAGTCGGTTAAGCGTCCGACTTCAGCCAGGTCACGATCTCGCGGTCCGTGAGTTCGAGCCCCGCGTCAGGCTCTGGGCTGATGGCTCAGAGCCTGGAGCCTGTTTCCGATTCTGTGTCTCCCTCTCTCTCTGCCCCTCCCCCGTTCATGCTCTGTCTCTCTCTGTCCCAAAAATAAATAAACGTTGGAAAAAAAAAATTAAAAAAAAAAAAAAAAGAATTAGCCCCCTGTTAAGGGCTTGATGGCAATTTGTTGCAAGCAGCCGATGCCAAACATTTGTTGCTTTACTGTACTGAGCGTGCAAACACATACACAGCTGTCATCCACAAAAATCTCTCACCTCCATATAAATACACTCAGACACCTCCACCCACACCTCCACAGACACACACCCAACCTTCCCGCTGCTAGACCCATACACATGCATATCAGCACATATGCTAATTACAGCACACCTACATAGGTACTCACATACTTAAAAGAAGAGGTGGAAAGATCATGATATGTAGTGTGCAATATGTCACTGACAAAGGAGAGAGGGTATTGTGTCTCTGGACAGACTACTGGTGTGGCAGGCCAGGGGCTAACCCTTCCAGAACTGGCCAGAGGTGAATAAATGCAAGGAGGTTTATGCAACAGACGAAACAGGTTCCAGTGAGAGCTTGCAAGTGAGCAGAGGCTATTCCTCACGAGAACAACTTGGAGTGAATTTACTTGTCATATAGGAAAAGTGGACCTAGCTTTATTAGGGAGCTTGCTAACTGTACAACTGTGTGTAAAGAGACCAAGTTGGGTAAGGGATATGTCCCAGATCCCTTACCTTGAGTTTCTCAAATCGGTCATTCAGGGACGCAACCTGATGGTCTCGGTGACGTCCCACCAGTTTGCATAAGGCACAGATCAATTGGTCATCAGATACACAATACATGTTCACTTTCTCATTTTCATGGTCCAGGCAGGTGATCCCTCGAAGATGTGTGTCTGGCACTGGTTCCACCAGGCGGTGGCTGGTGAAAGGTTTCTTGTTGGGGTGTGTGGCCCGCAGGCAACGGTCACAGTAGGAGACCTCACAGGTGATGCATGTTTTCACTGCATCCCTTGGCGGGTCCTGCTCACAGAACTGGCAAGCAATTCGCTCACTAGACATGGCAGTGCTGGGCCTGTAAGTCCTCTCCCGGCGGCTCTCACTTGGGGAATTGGGCCCACTGACGGAAGCCTTCTGAAAGCGATCGATAATGTTCTGCAGAGTCACATTCCTCTTGAGGCCGTCCAGGCCCCGGTGGTTCAGCGAGATAACATACCTGCACGTTGGACACTGAAAAGCGGTAATGGGTTCAATGGATTCACCAGAGCCGCAGCTCGAGACCAAGATTCGATGGGCACAGCTGAAGCAGAGGCTATGAGCACAAGGGAGAAGAAGGGGGTCTTCAAACAACTCTAGGCAGATTGGACAGGTCAATTCAGACTCCAGTGTTTCCATCTTTAGTGAAAATAATCCTGCTGAGGCATTAAGAACCGCAGAGGCTGGGCTTTCACCTGCAAGGAATACAATGCAAGAGTCACTAAGTATTTCCAAAGGAAAAGTGGTTGCAGCATAATTATACACTAACCAATGGAGGCTTTACATGCTAGATTCCTCAGTGATGCTGGAGCAATAGCAATGCAATCTGGGCGTTAATCAAAAAGCCTTTCTCCCCTTCACACCTTGTGGTTGACAAATGCTCGAGTTTATTTTCCTGCACTAATAAGAGAACCAAGTGGCCACCTCGGAGTCCTGGTTTACTGGTCGACATTACTATTCCAGCTCATAATACTGGCCCATGCCAGTCACATATTATCCACTGAAATCTCTTGTCCTGGACTATGATGAGTCTGTGCAAAATTCTCAATCTCCATTCTCCAATATTGGTCTGTATTTTACTTCAAGGTAAAATATAGGGGCTGCACCTATTTCACCTCTAGTGGAAGGAAAATCAGGTCATATTTCAAGCTAACTCTCTGGCTTTTGAAGTGACTCCATTCTGAGAGCCTGTGTAAAAAACAAGAGTGAGCTGCAGAAGAATGTACTTCTCGGTGCAGAATAATAAGTTCTTCAGAGTGTGAACTTTAATTACTTCCTGTTACCATTCATGGAAATTCCTGTTCTATCCCATTTCTAGTAAACTGAGTTACTAGAAACAAATGATGCTAGTATCCACTTCCTTCCCTCACCTCCAGAAAACCCTTCATCTCATCAAGCTCCATAAGAAATGATTTCAACCGTTAAATTTACTCAGCAATAGTTGCTGATCAATACTGACAACATATCACCTTGTGGTTTCAGCTGGATTTTATTATAAGACACCCACTGAATTAGCACAAACCTACTATGGAACTCACCTCCCCATGTGTCTTAAAATGTAACAAGATGCAAATCAACATCCAGATATAAATTAGCAAGGTGAGGAGCCAGAAATTTTCAGACCTGGTAGTCTTCATTCTGGTACATGTTTTGGAGAGTAAAAGAAGTCATCCAATTAACATGAAACTAATCTCTTGGCCAACCTATCTCTTCTGCCACAGATATTTCTGAGCTGAACATACAGATACTGCCACGGGTCTTCTGTTAAATAAAACCAACACAGAGAAATGTTCTAACCTAGCCTTAACTAAGGACAAAACTATCTGACAAAAAATGTTAATCCTATTTATAGAAAAAGAAAAACATCATTTGCTTTTGAATAACTTTTGTTCATCATCTTACTAGCACTGGAGACCCTCACCAGGGCTTGAAAATTTTGATTCTGCCACTGATATTTGTTCAGATTTTGTCAATCAGTGACCTCTGCCTAGCCTTCTCACAGGATACTTAAGCGCTGAGTACAATTATACCTTGTGAATAAGTACAGTAGATGCATCCCTAAAAGCTGTTTCTAAATCAAACCTTTTAAGTGCACGAAGATAACTAGCTATTTAAGGGAAATCTAAAGGAAACTGGGCTGTAGAAGTAGAAAGTCTTTTTGTAAAATAGCCATTCTCAGTTGGTCTGGAAAGTTCAGATGTTTGGATAACCACTTTCTTAAAATGTGAGACATGTGATATTCTTATTTTATAATTCACAGGTGCTTCAAAATTGTTGGCTGGCAATATGTAGCTTATATTATCTATCAGCTTTCACCTATAGAGATGAAAAAGTAAACCAATTACAATATGCATATATCACAGAACCTTAAAATTGGAAGAGACTTTAGTTAGAGATGATGGATTCCAACTTTTGTTCCAGGCAGGAATACTGCCTTTGATAGCCCCACTGATCAAATTCAACATGTCCATAAGTGAATTTTTTATTCTCCCCAACCCCCCCCCCAAAAAAAAACCCCAAAACACCTGCTCTTCTTCCAATTTTCCCCATGGGATGAATATCACTATCCAAGCCTGGAAACCTAGGGGTCTTTTCATTTATATGGTTATCATGTAACTGATAATGACATGGTTATCACCACAACCACTGGTGGCTTCCAGAACATTCTGTTTTATTTCATTTACATATCTGTCTCCAGCTAACTCCCTCTGCTCCTTGAGGGCATCAACTATTTCATATTTTATCATAGCATGGTGCCTCATACATGCTAGGTATTCAATAATTGTTAAATGAAAGATCCCTTAAAAGTACAAGTTGGAAGAAAGGACCTAGCATTTATTGAGCACCTCTTGTATTCTGAGTACTGTTAAGCACTTTACACACATTATTTCATTAAATTCTATCAAGAAGCCTGTGAGAAGGGGCATTTAGGTGGCTCAGTTGGTTAAGCGTCTGACTCCGGATTTCGGCTCAGGTCAGGATCTCATGGTTTGTGAGATCGAGCCCCACATTTGGCTCCCCACTGAATGCAGTGCATGCTTGGGGTTCTCTCTCTCTCCCTCCCTCCCTTTGCTCCTCCCCTGCTCGCTCGCTCTCTCTCTCTCAAAATAAATAAATAAAACTTTAAAAAAAAGAGAGAGAGAGAGAGAGAGAATCCTGTAAGGAAGGTACTACCATGCCCCTATTATAGTTAGGAAATTGGGGCTCAGCATTGTTAAGTAAATCAACCAGGAATTATACATACCCACAGCATTGGGTCAGTCTAATGCCAGCGCCTTTGCTCTTTCCCCTACACCTTTATTTCAATCATCCCACCTCCTTCACTGAAGTTTATCTTGACTATTTACAAGAGTGTTTCTAAACAGCATGTTTCCACTTCTATTTTTGTCTCTCTGTGTCCCCCCCCCCCCGGGGGCTCTGATTCGTCCTCTTATTCCAAGTCCCCTCCAGAATCATATCTTTTCCTTCTAGGCCCAACTCCACTTCACACTGCATTTCTATTACTACCTCTTCCAGAACTGGATGTCTGCATTCTTTAACATCTGCATTGAAAGCTACCCGGGAGAATTGAGTAAGCCTCCCTCCAAAATGACAGTTGGTCAGGGGCGTCTGGGTGGCTCAGTTGGTTAAGTCCGACTTTGGCTTAGGTCATGATCTCATGGTTCATGAGTTCGAGCCCCGCGTCAAGCTCTGTGCTGACAGCTCAGAGCCTGGACCATGGTTCGAATTCTGTATCTCCCTCTCTCTCTGCCCCTCTCCCACTCAAGCACTCTCTCTCTCTCTCTCTCTCTCTCTCTCTCTCTCTCAAAAATAAATAAACATTAAATTTTTTTTTTAAAAATTGACAGTTGGTCAGAAGCATTGCTAAAGATGTCTATGCATTCAAACCTATACAAAAACAATTAGAGTACCTGTGGTACTCCTCTAAGTCTTACTTAGGAGAGTGCCATACAAACCCTTCTCTACAAGCCAAAAAGCTCTTCAAATTTCCCTGAAACCGTAAATACTGCTCCTGAGTAAGTGTAACACTTGAACCTCACTATGAAATTAAGCTTGGGAAAGTATGCTATGGGTCAGCATTGCCTTGAATAAGGTCAAAACAGGATTTTTAACCAGGGATTTCTGAACTTCCTAGAACAGTTTAAAGAATGTTTTGTGTTTGTCATATATGCATTCTCATGGGGAGAGGGTTGTCCACAGCATTCAAAATGTTCTCAAAAGATTCCTTGACAGGGGCGCTTGGGTGGTTCAGTTGGTTTCGTGACCAACTCTTGATTTGGGCTCTGGCCATGATTTCACAGTTCATGGGTTCGAGCAGCATCAGGCTCTGTGCTGACAGTGAGGAGCCTACTTGGGATTTGCTTTCTCCTTCTCTCTCTCTGCCTTTCTCCCACTTGCACTCACTGTCTCCCTCTCTTTCTAAATAAATAAATAAGCATTTTTAAAAAGCAAGAAAAGGGGCGCCTGGGTGGCTCAGTCAGTTGAGCATCTGACTCTTATTTCAGCTCAGGTCATGATCCCAGGGTCGTTGGATGAAGTCCTACATTGGGCTCCATGCTGAGTGTGGAGCCTGCTTGGGATTCTCTCTCCCTCCCTCCCTCTCCCTCTTCCCCTCTCCCCCACTCATGCTCTCTCTCAAATAAAAAATGGAAAAAACATTTTTAAAAAGCAAGAGAAAAGAGTACTTGACAGAGAAAGTCAAACACTAGTGCTCTAAAATAACCCACCTTAATGATTTTCAGCTCTACAAAGAATAATAGAGGATGGTTACAATTTGTTGCTTATGGTAAGTAATTTTTCTATACTGCTTCTATTCTGTTTTATCTTCAAGTCACAATTGCTTTAGCTGAGACTGTGGAACTGAATTTTTTTCTCAACTTCTTCAAACATCTGTTCATCTCATCTCTCATTCATGAGGCCACCTTGTTCTGGCCACTCCTAATATTTCAGCATCCTTTCAACTATGTCCCATTTTCACTACCTTCCTGATTATCTAACCACCTTTCCCCGTAAAATTTATCTGGCATTTACTATGTGCCAGACACTAAATAATACCCTTTATATGCCTTATCTCATTTAATTTTCACAACAATCCTCTAAAAGGTAGGTACTATTATTATCAAAAAAAGTAACTTCTCCCAGACCACACTTATTTGCAAGTAGCAGAACTAAGATTCAAACCTAGAATAAAACTGAGAATCCAGAAATAACCTGATATATTCCTATATTTACAGGCAAGTGACTTTTGATAAGGATTCCAAGTCCACTCAGTGAGGAAAGAATAATCTTTTCAACAAATGGTATTGGGGCAACTCCATATCCACATGCAAGATGATGAAGTTAGAGCCCTATCTCACACCATATAAAAAATTAACTAAAAACAAATCAACAACCTAAATGAAAGTGTAGAAGCTATAAAACTCTTGGAAGGAAACACAGGTGTAAATCTTTGTGAAATTAAATTAAGCAAAGGTTTCTTACATGATACCAAATGTACAAGCAACCAAAGAAAAAAATAGATAAATCTGACTTCATCAAAATTTAAAACTTCTGTGTTGCAAACCAAGAAGGTGAAAAGACAGCTCACAGAATGGGAAAAAATACTTGCAGGTCATAGATGTGACACAGGTCTAGTATCTAGAAATATACAGAACTCTTAAAACTCAACAATAAAAAGACCAAGAAAGTGGGCAAA